AGTGCACAGGTAGTCTATGAGGAATACCAAGGGTGGTGTCGCATTCAGAAAGGTGTGATATCATTCTACAACAGTAAGATAGAGAAGTGGGTTCAGTTCAAGTGCAAGGCTCCTATGTAGACTGTGTTTATACGTGCGTACAGATGTTGAGTATTACACAAACATTTAGTTCACCGACTCCCTAGCGACACACAGTCGCCTGGTATACAGTACATGGACACTAATCCTCTCCTCTCTCATCTCTCTCTCCTTTCTACTCTCTACTACTATCTCTCTCTCTCTCCTTTCTACTCTCTCATCTCTCTCTCCTCTTGCTGGGTAGCTGTACTCTCTTTCCCTCTCTCTCTGTTACGACTCTCCCTTTCTCTACTGTTTCTCTCTATATATATCCTCTCTCTATCTCTCTATCTCTCTGTCCCAGTCTCTGGGCACCTGTGTTGATTTACTGTCAAATCTTCCAGGATTATCTGTAATCCAGAGCTGCAGAATCTGTTTGCTGACAGCTGCGTTCTCAAATACTACTGCTGCTGAGAGAGAGAGAGAGAGAGGATAAAAAATATAATCTTTAATTTTCCGCCTCTTTGGACATTGATTTACAATTCTGCCTCTGTTTTCTTTCGCTTGTGTTGTAGGGAATGAAAGTAGTGCACCATGTAGGAAATGAAAGTAGTGCACTATGTAGGGAATAAAAGTAGTGCACTATGTAGGGAATAAGGTGCCATTTTGAATGCATTCTCAGTCTTATAGCACCAGTACTCTGCATGACTCTCCTAGTAATCCACAGATCATATCATAGATCTTACTTCCCCAGCGTAGTCCAGTGGAGGCTGCTGAGGGGAGAACGGCTCATAATAATGGCTCATCTTTCATCTCTCTTCTGTTCTCATTTGCCTTATTAACTCTCTTCTAACAGTCCCTCTCTCTCTCTCTCTCTCTCTCTCTCTCTCTCTCTCTCTCTCTCTCTCCATCTTCTCCAGGTGGTCTATAAGAATAATGACATCCGTCTGGAGCTCTCCCGTCTGGCCCGCATCATAGACCCCAAGATGAAGCTCCAAGGTGACGTGGTGTTTAAGTGTGAAAACGTACCCACCCTGGACCCTATTAACTTTGAGAGCCCTGATTCCTACCTCAGCCTGCCCAAGTGGAATACCAAGAGGGTCGGCTCCATCTCCTTCGATTTCAGGACCTCTGAACCCAACGGACTCATCCTCTTCACCCATGGCAAGGTATACAAACAACACAAGGTATACAAACAACACAAGGTATACAAACAACACAAGGTATACAATCAACACAATTTACATGTCTTTCTTTTCATGTTACTAGCACCGATTTTGCAGATAGCAGCTATTTTGAATGTTTCACTTGCAATGCTTGTGGTATATGGTTGATTACCTGCCTTAGTTGAATGTACTGAGTTTAAGTCTGCTCTGGATGAGATCTTCACCCTGATAAAAGCTATTTAGCTGAAACATTGGTCATTCATTTGTAGCCTACAGTATTACATTTACGTCATTTAGCAGACACTCTTATCCAGAGCGAGTGCATAATTTTATTTTATTTTTCATACTGGCCCCCCGTGGGAATCGAACCCACAACCCTGGCATTGTAAACGCCATGCTCTACCAACTGAGCTACACAGGACTGTATATATATATAGATTCTGTCAGCACCTAAAGAGTGTTCTTTATTTCCAGGCCCAGGACCGTTGGGACGCGGCAGGGAAGAAGAACAACAAGGTTGACTTCTTCGCTGTGGAGCTGCTAGATGCAGGGCTGTACCTGCTGCTGGACATGGGCTCAGGAACCATCAAGGTCAAAGCCACACAGAGCAAGGTCAATGACGGAGCCTGGCACCACGTGGATATACAGAGGGACGGGCGATCAGGTGAGGAGGGAGGAAGAGGAGGGACGGGAGGAGGGTAGAGGAGGGGGGGGGGGGTAGCTGGAGAGGGAGGAGGGGGAGGAGAGGATGGGAGGGGGGAGGAGGACTTGGAGAAACAGGACGGAGAGTATGAAGAGGAGAGGGGTGCTGATCATATTTTAATTTATTTGTACCTTTATTTCAGCAGTGAATCTCATTGAGACCAAGGTATCTTTTACAAGGGAGCCCTGCATATCTTTACATATTTTTTCATTAAACCCCCCAGAATATACAAAGAATGAATCATACTATTCCACGATTTGCTGAAATATTTAAAACTTTTCCAATCTCTGTAAGAAACATAAGAGCAACTGTATCTTGAGGAAGAAGCAGTAAGACATTTATCATGAGGATGATGAAGCAAAACCTTTTTGATTCTATTTGCTGATTCTATTTCCTCCACAGGGTGTGTATCCTGTCTGTCCTCTGACCTGTACAAGGTTGGACAAACAGAACAGAACAGAGAAAGGAGGTTTAGAGAGGAAGAGGATATTAGAGTAAAAAGGGTTGGAGAGGAGAGAGAGACTGTTGTTGCCTTGAGCTCCCCAACATAATGGATTCACCACATAACAGCCAGGGAGAGAGAGAGAGTGAGAGAGAGAGAGAGAGAGAGAGAGAGAGATAACAACCTTCCATAACAAAGCCATCACCTACAGAGAGATGGACCTGGAGAAGAGTCCCCTAAGCAAGCTGGTCCTGGGGCTCTGTTCACAAACACAAACAGACCCCACAGAGCCCCAGGACAGCAACACAATTAGACCCAACCAAGTCATGAGAAAACAAAAAAAGAATTACTTGACACATTGGACAGAATTAACAGAAAAACTACATTACATTTTAGTCATTTAGCAGACACTCTTATCCAGAGCGACTTACAGTTAGTGAGTGCATACATTTTTATACTGGCCCCCCGTGGGAATCGAACCCACAACCCTGGCTTTGCGAGCGCCGTGCTCTACCAACTGAGCTACATGGGGCCTTAGAATGCTATTTGGCCCTAAACAGAGAGTACACAGTGGCAGAATACCTGACCACCGTGACTGACCCAAAATTAAGGAAAGCTTGGACTATGTACAGACTCAGTGAGCATAGCCTTGCTATTGAGAAAGGCCGCCGTAGGCAGACCTGGCTCTCAAGAGAAGAGAGGCTATGTGCACAATACCCACAAAATGAGGTGGAAACCGAGCTTTACTTCCTAACCTCCTGCCAAATGTATGCCCATGTTAGAGACACATATTTCCCTCAGATTACACAGACCCACAAAGAATTCAAAAACAAATCCAATTTTGATAAACTCCCATATATTTTGGGTAAAATACCACAGTGTGCAATCACAGCAGCAAGATTTGTGACCTGTTGCCACAAGAAAAGGGCAACCAGTGAAGAACAAACACCATTGTAAATACATCCCATATTTATGTTTATTTATTTTCCCATTTGTCCTTTAACTATTTGCACATCATTACAACACTGTATATAGACATAATATGACATTTGAAATGTCTCTATTATTTTGGAACCTGTCTGAGTGTAATATTTACTGTTCACTTTTTATTGTTTATTTCACTTTTGTTTATCCATTTCACTTGCTTTGGCAATGTAAACATATGTTTCCCATGGCAATAAAGCCCCTTGAATTGAATTAGAGAGAGAGAGAGAGAGAGAGAGAGAGAGAGAGAGAGAGAGAGAGAGAGAGAGAGAGAGAGAGAGAGAGAGAGAGAGAGAGAGAGAGAGAGAGAGAGAGAGAGAGATAATTAGTACTGCTGTTATTTTATGTCATGTCCTGTGTTATATAGAGCCCTGTGTCAACACACTATACTCTGGTTAACCATACCGATGAAATAAAGGGAGAACGGGAGGATTGGGAGAACGGGAGGATTTCTGAAGGAAGTATAGAGAAATTAGACCGATACTGTATATGGATATGCGGCTGAGTGGAGTGGTTTAAAGAACTGTCATAATCTAACTTGTTTCTAGATACAGTGCATTTGGAAATTATTCAGACCCCTTGACTTTTTCCACATTTTGTTATGTTACAGCCTTATTCTAAAATTGATTACATATTTGTTTTTCCCTCATCATTCTACACCATAATGACAAAGTGAAAACAGGTTTTTAGATATTTTTGCAAATATGTATATATATATATATATATATATATATATATATATATATATATATATATATATATGTATAAAATAATAAATAATAACACCTTATTTACATCAGTATTCAGACCCTTTGCTATGAGACTCCAAATTGAGCTCAGGTCCATCCTATTTCCATTGATCATCCTTGAGATGTTTCTATAACTTGATTGGAGTCCACCTGTGGTAAATTCAATTGATTTGAATTGGAGAGGGTATGACAAAACATGTATTTTTACTGCTCTAATTACATTGGTAACCAGTTTATAATAGCAATAAGTCACCTCAGTGGTTTGTGATATATGGCCAATATACCACGGCTAAGGGCTGTATCCAGGCACTCCTCGTTGCATCATACATAAGAACAGCCCTTAGCCGTGGTATATTGGCCATATACCACAAACCCCGAGGTGCCTTATTGCTATTATAAACTGGTTACCAATGTAATTAGAGCGTAAAAATAAATGAACACACCCCCTTAATTAACCCACCTATTATTTTATCTCGTCTTTTCAGGCATCATCTCAGTAGACAGTCGGAGGACCCCCTTCACGGCCAGCGGAGAGAATGAGATCTTAGACCTGGAGGGAGACCTCTACCTGGGTGGTCTCCCTGACAACCGGGTAGGTCTGGTGTTACCTACCGAACTGTGGACAGCCATGTTGAACTACGGCTACGTGGGCTGCATCAGGGACCTTTTCATCGATGGACGCTCCAAAAACATAAGGGCCATCTCCGAGTCTCAGAACACCACAGGCATCAGGCCCACCTGTAGTAAAATGACAGGGAAACAGTGTGATAGTAAACCCTGTAAGAACAACGGAGTCTGTAAGGAAGGGTGGAACCGCTTTATATGTGACTGCACCGGGACTGGCTTCTGGGCCAACACGTGTGAGAGAGGTGAGTCTGCTGGTTATATTTTGAAAAGTAATTGTTTTCGTACCCATATTTAATTTACCTTAGATGCTGGGTAAATGTGCAGACTTTCTCATACATGTGTGGGTATTCTTATACAGTTAGCAGTGCTGGGATTGAGTTACATTGTGATGCTGTGTTTGATAAAGCTGTGATTGGAGATTGATCGCCATCGACATTGATTGATGGTCATCATGACAGTTTTGTTTCCTTGTGTTTCAAACAACAAAGTGGTTCAGAGAAGTTACAGTACAGTTGTACAAGCTTGGCCTATGCCCAAGTCAAGGTCCTGTGCTCAAGTCAAGGTCCTGTGCCCAAGTCAAGGTCCTGTGCTCAAGTCAAGGTCCTGTGCCCAAGTCAAGTTCCTGTGCTCAAGTCAAGGTCCTGTGCCCAAGTCAAGGTCCTGTGCTCAAGTCAAGATCCTATGCTCAAGTCAAGGTCCTGTGCCCAAGTCAAGGTCCTATGCTCAAGTCAAGGTCCTGTGCCCAAGTCAAGGTCCTGTACTCAAGTCAAGGACCTGTGCTCAAGTCAAGGTCCTGTGCTCAAGTCAAGGTCCTGTGCTCAAGTCAAGATCCTATGCTCAAGTCAAGGTCCTGTACTCAAGTCAAGGGAGTAATGTACAAGCTTGTTGTGTGGTAAGAAGCGTTCCACAAAGCTCTAGAAGTGTTAGTTCAGCCAAGCAGAGTATAAAGTGTTTGTCTGGGTGTGGAGTGAATAGTCAGTGTTCTGTTTTTAGTTTGATGGGGTTAGGAGTGGAGAGGAGCAGAGAGGAGATCAGAAGAGAGGAGAGCAGAGGGTAGGAGCAGAGAAGAGCGGACAGGAGAGGAGCAGAGGAGAGGGGAGAGGAGTGGAGCAGAGAGGAGAGCAGAGGGTAGGAGCAGAGAGGAGAGCGGAAGAGAGGAGAGCAGAGGGTAGGAGCAGAGAGAAGTGGACAGGAGAGGAGCAGAGAGGAGATCGGAAGAGAGGAGAGCAGAGGGTAGGAACAGAGAGGAGCGGACAGGGGAGGAGCAGAGGGAAGGGGAGAGGAGAGGAGAATTGTGACTTTGAACAGCTTGTATTTATGGAGGCTTTGCTGAAATATTTAATAGGATTTTACTTTTTCGCCAAGTGGCTTTTGTGCAGGGTGCTGTCTTCTCCAGGGGGGAATTGAACTGGGTCTTGGCACACACACACACACACACACACACTGGTGCCAAGGCTGGCTGGCTGGGGGTGAAAATTGTCTCCCCATGTCTGGCTTTAAGAGCTCAACTGCATTAAGTTTTTATGAAGCGGAGATAGGGCCACTCTGAGCTATTGAAAGTATGTTTGTGTGTGCGTGTGTGTGCGTGTGTGCATGTGTGCATGTGTGTGTGTGTATGTGTGTGTGTGTGTGTGTGTGTGTGTGTGTGTGTGTGTGTGTGTGTGTGTGTGTGTGGTGTGTGTGTGTGTGTGTGTGTGGAGAGCTAAATCAGAGTATTGTTCCCTTGGTTTGACTTCCTTTTTCAATTTTACCAGATAGGTTTGCAAGAGGAGTTTAGGCGTTTTTATAAGAACGACAGTCTTGTGAAAATGCATGCTATTGGACTGAGGAATAATTACTTTTTCTGAACTGGTTGTTACAGTAGGCATAGAGAGGAGAGAGGCTGGGAGGTGTTACAGCAGGCATAGAGAGGCTGGGAGGTGTTACAGCAGGCTAGAGAGGATGGGAGGTGTTACAGCAGGCATAGAGAGGCTGGGAGGTGTTACAGCAGGCTAGAGAGGCTGGGAGGTGTTACAGCAGGCTAGAGAGGCTGGGAGGTGTTACAGCAGGCTAGATAGGCTGGGAGGTGTTACAGCAGGCTAGAGACGAGTGAGGTGTTACAGCAGGCTAGAGACGAGAGAGTTGTTACAGCAGGCTAGAGAGGCTGGGAGGTGTTACAGCAGGCTAGAGAGGCTGGGAGGTGTTACAGCAGGCTAGAGAGGCTGGGAGGTGTTACAGCAGGCTAGATAGGCTGGGAGGTGTTACAGCAGGCTAGAGAGGATGGGAGGTGTTACAGCAGGCTAGAGAGGCTGGGAGGTGTTACAGCAGGCTAGAGAGGCTGGGGGGTGTTACAGCAGGCTAGAGAGGCTGGGAGGTGTTACAGCAGGCTAGAGAGGATGGGGAGGTGTTACAGCAGGCTAGAGAGGCTGGGAGGTGTTACAGCAGGCTAGAGAGGCTGGGAGGTGTTACAGCAGGCTAGAGACGAGAGAGTTGTTACAGCAGGCTAGAGAGGCTGGGAGGTGTTACAGCAGGCTAGAGAGGCTGGGAGGTGTTACAGCAGGCTAGAGACGAGTGAGGTGTTACAGCAGGCTAGAGAGGCTGGGAGGTGTTACAGCAGGCTAGAGACGAGAGAGTTGTTACAGCAGGCTAGAGAGGCTGGGAGGTGTTACAGCAGGCTAGAGAGGCTGGGAGGTGTTACAGCAGGCTAGAGAGGCTGGGAGGTGTTACAGCAGGCTAGAGAGGCTGGGAGGTGTTACAGCAGGCTAGAGAGGCTGGGAGGTGTTGCAGCAGGCTAGAGATGAGAGAGTTGTTACAGCAGGCTAGAGAGGCTGGGAGGTGTTACAGCAGGCTAGAGAGGCTGGGAGGTGTTACAAGCAGGCTAGAGTGGCTAGAGAGCAGGCTAGAGAGACTGGGAGGTTCTGTGGAGATTTTAAAGATGAAAACATTGGCAAGATTTCTAGCACTACTTCCAGTTTTGGTCAAAGCTCATGAGCTCCAAATTGGAACAACATGAGATGGAGACACTGCAGGCTATTTGTTTTACCTCTTTGAATCCTAAATACTTCAACTGCTAAAAATAATTCTGAAGAATATAACGTTTAAAGTGGCAATATGTAACTTTTTGGCGACCCGACAAATTTGACATAGAAAAGTGAGTTATAGATCTGTCATTCTACATGAAAGCAAGTGTAAGAAGCAGTAGATCTGTTCTATGTGCACTATTTCTATGCTTTCCATTCTTAAATTTAGTTTTGGGGTCTTTTAATTTCGGTTTTGTACACCAGCTTCAAACAGCTGAAATAACAATATTTTTGGTTGTGGAAAATATATTTCACAGCAGTTTAGACAGTACAGTGGTTCTCTACACTATACTAGCTTATTTTGTCACATTAACTGAAATTAGGCGAACTATTAGTTTTAGTGCAACTTTAACATAAAAAGCAGGTTTATTCTGCGGCAGACCAAAGTACATTGCTGTCTTATGAACAAGTGTCCTCTCTGTCTCTCTGTCTCCTTCTCTCTTTCTCTATGAGAGAGGCGGAGAAAGAGAGAGAGACAGAGACAGAGACAGAGACAGAGACAGAGACAGAGACAGAGACAGAGACAGAGACAGAGACAGAGACAGAGACAGAGACAGAGACAGAGACAGAGACAGAGACAGAGACAGAGGAGGATAGGCAATAGGCAGGCAGGCTGTCCGATCGCATTAACCTTGCCTCAGTCCTGGAGAGCCAGCTATTTTTGTATCACTTCCGAGGCGTATGGGCTGTTGGGAAAGCACTTCACATAGCACACAGCCAGAGAGCACACAACACCAACCAGTCCGATAACGACATATCACACAAAAACCCTCCCCCTCCTCTCCTTCCTCCCCATCCCTCTCCCTCCTCCCCCCCGAGCTCCATCCATCCTTCTCCCTCCCCCTCCTCTCCCCTCCTCCCCCCTCCTCTCTCCTATAAGCCAGTCTGCCTTCTCCTCCATTCCTCATTCCTCCCCCTCCCCCCTCCGCTCCCCTCCCCAATTCCTCATTTCCTTCCTCCCTCCCCCTCCTCTCCTCCTCCCTCCCCCCTCCTCTCCTCCTCCCTCCATCCCTCCTTCCTTCCTCCCTCCCACCTCCTCTCCTCCTCCCTCCCCCCTCCTCTCCTCCTCCCTCCATCCCTCCTCTCCTTCCTCCCTCCCACCTCCTCCCCTCCTCTCCTTCCTCCCTCCATCCCTCCTCTCCTTCCTCCCTCCACTTCCTATCCTCATTCACATTGCTAGCTGGCCTAAATGTCAGGACAGTGGGTTCTTCTGACCCCTGTCGAGAGACGGTGTTCTGATGTGTAGGGCCTGTGGGAGGGAGGAGGGATTTAACGATAGTGGACAAGATACTTGCATCATCACTGTATTACAACATAAACACATATACCCTTTACAGACAGACTTTAAGGTATGTTGCCTGTAAAACCAATCTGGCAATCTTTTTTAATCCCCTAATGTAGATTTCCGCGCCCCGGCGGAAATCTAAGTAGCATAATACATTTAAGCTATATATTTTTCTCACCAACTCAGTAGTCAAATCAATAAACAGTGGGATATTCCAGCGAGAGGTTAACAGTCTACCTGGGTAGTTTTTTGCCGTGCTAAGTTTTTTGTTGTTGTGCACTCCCTTCAAACAATAGCATGGTATTTTTTCACATAATAGTTACTGTAAATTGGACAGTGCAGTTAGATTAACAAGAATTTAAGCTTTCTGCCCATATAAGACATGTCTATGTCCTGGAAAGTTTGCTGTTACTTACAACAGTCATGCTAATCACATTAGCGCACATTAGCTCAACGGTCCCGTATATGGGACACCGATCCCGTAGAGGTTAAACAGACAAGACACACATATTTTATGGTAGGCTAAGAATATAATGAAAAAAAAAGAAAGAATAAAATACAAATAATATTTTACAACAGAACTTGCATCATGGCAACGTTGGGAACCGCAGTCAATTAAAAAAGTGGTCTTTTGAAACAGAGCCCAAAACAAGCCCATGCTTTTTTTAAAATCCATGTTTCATCTCTTTCCTACCCTCACTCTGCCTTGTTAGGGAGCAGACGTAGGGTCTTACATTGAGAGTAGGCCTATCTTCATCATGATACCAATAGAAAATAATAGCAATCTATATTTTCAAAAGTATTTGAGTCTCGTGTTCATATTTCACAACCTCTGTGGGCTTTTGGAGTTGCCTTCATGCGATCGAGCAAAATAATAGGCTTACACTTGATTTAGGCTACATTACTGCATGGTAAATGTTTCTGATCAGTGATAGATGAGCAAATCAATAGATGAGCACACCACCTCCACTTACAGTGCCTTCGGAAAGTATTCAGACCCCTTGACTTTTTCAACATTTTGTTACGTTACAGCCTTGTCCAAAAATGGATTAAATCAATAAAAATCCTCAGAAATCTACACAGAATACCCCCTAATTACAAAACATAAACAGATTTTTTGAACTTTTTGCAAATCTTTAAAAAAAATAATTATTAATGACCTTATTTACATAAGTATTCAGATCCTTTGCTATGAGACTCGAAATTGAGTTCAGGTGTATCCTGTTTCCATTGATCATCCTTGATATGTTTCTACAACTTGATTGGAGTCCAGCTGTGGTAAATTCAATTGATTGGACATTATTTGGAAAGGCCCACACCTGTCTCTATAAGGTCCCACAGTTGACAGTGCATGTCAGAGCAAAAACCAAGCCACGAGGTCAAAGGAATTGTCCCTAGAGCTACGAGACAGGATTGTGTCGAAACACAGATATGGGGAAGGGTACCAAAAAATGTATGCAGCATAGAAGGTCCCCAAAAACACAGTGGCCTCCATCATTCTTAAATGGAAGAAGTTTGGAACCACCATGACTCTTCCTAGAGCTGGCCGCCTGGCCAAACTGAGCACATTTTTACATTTACATTTTAGTCATTTAGCAGACGCTCTTATCCAGAGCGACTTACAGTTAGTGAGTGCATACATAATTTTTTTATACTGGCCCCCCATGGGAATCGAACCCACAACCCTGGTGTTGCAAACGCCATGCTCTACCAACTGAGCTACATCCCTGCCGGCCATTCCCTCCCCTACCCTGGACGACGCTGGGCCAATTGTGCGCCGCCCCATGGGTCTCCCGGTCGCGGCCGGCTACGACAGAGCCTGAATGAGCAGTCGTGGGAGAAGGGCCTTGGTCAGGGAGATGATCAAGAACCTGATGGTCCCTCTGACAGAGCTCTAGAGTTCCTCTGTGCAGATTGGAGAACCTTCCAGAAGGACAACCATCTCTGCAGCACTCCACCAATTAGGCCTTTATGGTAGTGGCCAGATGGAAGCCACTCCTCAGTAAAAGGCACATGACAGCCCGCTTGGAGTTTGCCAAAAGGCACCTAAAGACTCTCAGACCATGACAAAACAATATTCCCTGGTCTGATGAAACCAAGATTGAACGCTTTGGTCTGAATGCCAATCGTCACGTCTGGAGGAAATCTGTCATGGTGGTGGCAGCATCATGCTGTGGGGAAGTTTTTCAGCAGCAGGGACTAGGCGACTAGTCAGGATCAAGGTAAAGATGAACACTGAAAAGTACAGAGAGGTCCTTGATGAAAACCTGCTCCAGATCGCTCAGGACCTCAGACTGGGGCACAGGTTCACCTTCCAACAGGACAACAACTCTAAGCACACAACCAAGACAATGCAGGAGTGGCTTCGGGACAAGTCTCTGAATGTCCTTGAGTGGCCCAGCCAGAGACTGGATTTGAAACCGATCGAACATCTCTGAAGAGACTTGAAAATAGCTGTGCAGCAACGCTCCCCATCCAACCTGACAGAGCTTGAGAGGATCTGCAGAGAAGAATGGGAGAAACTCTCCAAATACAGGTGTGCCAAGCTTGTAGCGTCATACCCAAGAAGACTAGAGCCTGTAATCGCTGCCAAAGGGGCTTCAACAAAGTACCGAGTAAAGGTTCAGAATACTTATGCAAATGTTATATTTCAGATTTTTTTTTTTTGTAAATTAGCAAACGTTTCAAAAAAACTGTTTTTGCTTTGTCATAATGGGTTATTGTTTGTAGATTGATGAGGAAATAAAACATTTTAATAAATTTTAGATTACGGCTGTAACCTAACTAAATGTGGAAAAGGTTAAGTGGTCTGAATACTTTCCGAAGGTATTGTATTAGCCAAGCCAGAGAATTAACCAAATATACAGATGGAGATTCAGTGAAACAAAATCACATTGATTTACTAAGACAAATCACAGGCTTTTGGTCGGGAGTAGGCCTAGGCTATTAAGCGACTGCGAGTTAAGAGCTAAATAATCCACTTGTTAAGCTAAATAACATGCAAGGCAAATGTTCTGATCAGTGCTAATAAATGAGCCAACTAGATAGGAGAGAGAGAGGGAGAACAACAGAGAGAGAGTGAGCAAGAGACAGAGAGAGAGAGAGAGAGAGAGAGAGGAGAGAAGAGAGAGAGAGAGAGAGAGGAGAGAGAGAGAGAGAGAGAGAGAGAGAGAGAGAGAGAGAGAGAGAGAGAGAGAGAGAGAGAGAGAGAGAGAGAGAGAGAGAGAACACAGTCTCGCCAACTCAGTAGTCAAATCAATAGACTCAGTGGGATATTCCAGCGAGAGGTTAACAGTCTGTCTGGGTAGTCAAACCAATATACTCAGTGGGATATTAAAGCCTAAGGTTAACAGTCTATCTGGGTAGTCTTTTGGACTGCAGATACTTTGATGGAGAGAGCGTTGTGTGGTAGTTGGCATCTTGTTTCTCCTCTATAAGATTCTCTATAAGTACCCAGATTCTCTATAAGTACCCAGATTCTCTATGGTACTATAAGCCCAAATACAGGTCACATAATAACGAGCAGACTACACAACCTCTCTAGCTTATCTACACTATATCCAGTCTCTATAATATAATTATATACACTGTAAAGCCTTTTATTCAGTATTGCTCAAAAGAAGCCCCTCAGTTAAGAATATTAAACCGGAACCATATTTTTACTATTTGCTTAGGAACAGCAAAGAGTGAGCCTGATATTCACCTTCTCTTAGTTGCTATGTGTTTCATCCTGCACCCGTGCCACACATGTTTTGCTCCTGTCTGTTTGAGGTGTGCCCACAGAGTATGACAGGGCCTCTGATCAGACAGGTTGTACTCTATCACAGAGACAGATGTAGTGTCGGAGGGTGTGCCAGACAGTCAGCGTGTGTGTGTGACTGTGTGTGACTGTGTGTGTGTGTGTGTGTGTGACTGTGTGTGACTGTGTGTGTGACTGTGTGTGTGTGTGTGACTGTGTGTGTGACTGTGTGTGTGTGTGTGTGACTGTGTGTGTGTGACTGTGTGTGACTGTGTGTGTGACTGTGTGTGTGTGTGTGTGTGTGTGTGTGTCTGTGTGTGACTGTGTGTGTGTGTGTGTGTGTGTGTGTGTGTGACTGTGTGTGTGTGTGACTGCGTGTGTGACTGTGTGTGTGTGTGTGACTGTGTGTGTGTGACTGTGTGTGACTGTGTGTGTGACTGTGTGTGTGTGTGTGTGTCTGTGTGTGTGACTGTATGTGTGTGTGTGTGTGTGACTGTGTGTGTGTGTGTGTGTGTGTGTGTGTGACTGTGTGTGTGTGTGTGTGCATGCCTGTGTGTGTGTGTGCCTCCTGCGCGAACAT